TTTCTGAGTGTGGCCACTCAGATTCCAGTGGACATTGATGTTAAAAAATTAACATATTTTTAAAATTAAGTATTTATTTTATCTATTGCTACATACAGGGTAAGTATATAAGACTGCTTTTAATTAGGCATGTAAAGTTATCTATTAAAGAGAAAGTATGATGCTTACCACCTTGTCAAAAGGGTAGTGTCAATAACAGGGTGCTGTTAAACCACAAGTTAAAATTACTTGCGACAAGGTAACTGTATGTTTTAAGAAAACAAATGTAAATGCGTGTGAGTTAGTTCCTTCATAAGCCTCGTTTGAGGAAAAGAAGTCAATAAATCTCTGCTGATTAATTCTCTCAACTTAAGTGCTACTTAATGGAAGTGTAGTCTCTGGATGTGTTCATGTTTTCTGTGATATTTTATCAGACTCATAGGTGAATAAAGTCTTTAATGGTATAAACTGCAGTGCTGAAAGGTAAAAAGGCAGACTGAAATCTTGAGGGGGTCCAAATTTGGGAAATAAATAAAAGTATATTTAATCTATATTTACCTCTTCTTCTCTCAATATTTGATCATTTATATAATTAAATTCCGCTTGAGTATTCTATTTCAATAGAACACTTAGAATGTTCCTTTCTTAAAACTTTGGGGTTTTTTATTAAAATAATTTCAATTTTTAATTGTAGAAGTAGAATGTTTAATATGTCACAATACATTTATTTGTGATTCAATGTAAATACATAGTTTTAATTAAATTCAATGTATATTTCAGTTATATGTGGCACAAGCAACTATGAAATGTTCACTATTGAAATATAATAAAATGGTATTTTTTAAACTTTATATGGTGTTTTTGTCTTTCTAAATAATCATTTCTTATTATTACTTTGCCACTACTATTATGATTGTATATACATGACTCTATCCCATACAAATTCTATATTGAATTAACAAATTAGTTTAAAGGATTTAAATAAACAACGCATAGAATGATAACTAATGTTACTTAAGTTCAGCCTAAAGCTGCTCCTTATATTTTTGTTTCTAACCAAGAGTTTCTTTGTACACAGTGAATTGTATTTAACTGGATGTGTAAGCAGACTGCAACCTACCCTTGTGCCAATCACTCAGTGTTGGTCAATCATTGGTGATCAACTGTTCAAACCGTGTTCAAATAAGGCACACATCGAGCTGTAACTAATCCACCTATTTCTGTATCTAATGTTTTGTATGTCACTTTTCTTTCCCTGTCTATAAATACTCTCTGACCATGTGGCAGTGGTAGAATCGTTTTGAACCTGTTCTGGTTGCGAAGAGGGT